GACCTGCCTATATTCGCTCCGTGAGCCACTTGGGAAAGGGGGGGGGGGGGGTGGGACTAACTCACCCTATGCTCCGGGAGCTGATCACTTCCCCGCGGTAGTGTTATGATCAGCTAGGTATGTTAAAGATGTAGATTAAATTTCAATCTTTCGAGCTCTTCCGAAAGGAGTTATCAACTAGCCAAAACGTCAGACCTTTTTAGGTCTAGTACGTATGATGGAAATAAACCAATTAGATTAACCCTATCATACTTTAAATGTGGTGCTTTAGGTATCCTGGTTATAATTTTCCTCTCGTTTGATGCAAAGATTATTTCAATGCCACTCGTTCAGTTTTATGTAGCTGCAAGCTCTGGGGGATATCGATCTACTGTTCGTGCACGACATCACCTTGCTGGCAAGATCATAACGGTAGTTCTAGTCATAGCAATATTTAAACCTATAAAGATAGACACTCGCTCTGTGGCCTTAGTCCGTACAGATACAGCGAGGTAATAATAGTTCTTACCTTTTTGTTACATCGAATTCATAAAGAATCAGAGTAATGATGTGGTAGTCTAATATCCGTTTACATTGATCCAAAGCAATTCTAGTTGATGATTCCAACTTTGTCAATGACCTTGTAAGCTCTACCCTTGAGATCAAAGAATGAGTACATGGTTGAATTTTGATGGAGAGGGATCACTGTATAGTAGAGCATTTATCTACTATTCAAATACGAAAGGGGAAGTGTACAAGTAGAATGACTAGGGTTGACACGCTGTAGCACAGCCATGTTCTAGTCAAGGTCTGTTCTTGTGGCTGTGTATGACTATGACTGACATGTAGAATAAAAATGAAGAACAACATAACATCAAACTAAATGGAATGAATCATCGTCAGGATGAGACAGAATGAGTCAGTGAGAACGAGGTACCGGTACTTAACTTACCATAGTTAACACCACATGAAAACGAGTACCGGTACCTTATGTCCACCTACTAACCTCGCCTCTGCGGCTCCGGCGGGGCAAAATCAAGCGCCGCTCTGATTGGCCCGAGCTTTTGATCTTTTTTCAGTTGGATCGCACGTCTCTGCAATTTATTTATCTCTCGGCTTCATTCTGCAAATCCCGGATTCTTTGATATCTTAGTTTCGAACTGTCTCTGTCTCTGTTGCTGCATCTGCTAGCTCACTTTTTCCTACCCCGCTTCCCACCGCACACTTTTTTCTCACCCTGTCACTTGCAACATCCTCTGATACTCTAACCATCATGGCTGTTCGCGCGCAATTCGAGAACTCGAACGAGTAAGATGCCCAAAGCCAAAAACGTTTGGAACTCTTTGGGACTTGGGCTGACGGTTTCCATTTAGGGTCGGCGTTTTCTCTTGCCTGACAAATGCCTACGCTATCGTTGCGGTTGGTGCTTCGGAGAACTTCTACAGGTGTGTTTGAATATTCTAATATTCCGAAAGGTGTGGGATTGAGACTTGAGACTGGCACTGGTAGAAATGGTGTGTGTGTGTGCGAAAGCATGCCATCGCCAACGCTGCGCCATCTCAAAACTCACCCTTCAACCTCTGCCCCAATGCACCTATGAACAGCCTCAACTAACGCGCAAATTCAGTGTCTTCGAATCTGAACTCCAAGATGTCATTCCAATCTGCCACGCAACCATCGCCGGAACCCGCATTGTCGGTCGGCTAATCGTCGGGTGAGTCGACATGGCCTGTTCAAAATGACCAATCTTTTCTGCGTTTTCTGCCAGGGAGGAAAACTTTCATCAAACGTAAATGCTAACATCTCGCCCTCAGTAACCGCAACGGTCTCCTTGTCCCTACAACCACCACAGATCAAGAATTGCAACACCTGCGCAACACGCTTCCGTCCGAAGTCAAAATCCAACGCATAGAAGAGCGACTCTCCGCGCTCGGAAATGTTATCTGCTGTAACGATCACGTTGCAATCGTGCACCCCGATCTGGAGCGCGAGACCGAGGAGATGTGAGTAAAAAAAAATCCTTTGCAGCGCCTGGACACCCAATCTCATTCCGTTCCATCTCAACCTTTCTTTCCTCCCCCCCCCCCCTTCCCTTTTCTAAACTGACACCATTCTTTTCCATAGCATCGCCGACGTTCTCGGTGTAGAAGTCTTCCGCCAAACAGTAGCCGACAACGTCCTCACAGGCTCGTACATGGCCCTCTCGAACCAAGGTGGAATCGTGCACCCCAAGACCTCAATCCGCGACCAGGACGAGCTCTCCTCTCTCCTGCAAGTTCCCCTCGTGGCAGGCAGTGTGAACCGCGGTTCTCCTGTTGTCGGTGCCGGCATGGTTGTCAACGACTGGCTCGCCATCACCGGACTGGACACCACAGCCACCGAGCTGAGCGTAATCGAGTCTGTGTTCAGACTTGGCG